AGGGCGGGAGGGAGGGCACATACTCCCTCCTTCATCCAAAGACAAATGCCGGTTTATATTTTGCAGTCAAACCAAATCGGTGAATGCCACTGCCACCCGATTTCGTACATAATATTGCCAGTCGGTAGTTTTCAGAAAAATGAGTCTTCTACGGAGCATTCATCCACGGCGGGGGTTCGAGGTCGTCAGGCTAAAAGGTGACGACAAAAGCACTGACAGGAGTAGAGAGCTCGATTTTTGAGGACAATGTTTTGTGCACCCTAGCCTCTAAGTAGATGCGTAAGAATATTGTCCCCGACTTAGTTCCCAAGCTGAGCTACTGGCTGTCAAGTAAGTCGATCGTAGTGGACACTGATTTCCAACTACCAGCTGTTGGACAGATAAGTGGGTTCGCGCTGCAGTAAGATGGTGTATACAACATACTAAAATGGGCCGGGGTGGAGAGGGACGATGGGCGGTGAAATGCTACAAAGTAGAGGCAGTTACTAACAACGCAACATGACAAACAACCGCGTCGAATGACAGCTAAATGGGCCAGTTGGGACCATGACAGCTGCGAGCCATGGAAGTTTTTGCAGTTTCCAACTCCCTCTGATGTTTCGTTACAGAGCCTATGTCAACTCCGTCCGAGTTTTCGGCAAGGCAACTTGCCGCTGCTTCAGTGGCAGGAGTCGTCAGCTTGTGGCTACGCGAGCAAAGGCGCATGTGATGCAGGTTAGGCGAGGGTGAAGCCTTATCGCAATCCACCATCGGGCTCGGACAGACAACTGACACCCGAACCTAATGAGTCTAAGGTTTAAATATAAAAATCCCCGTGACAATGCAGCAGCTCTCCTGCTATAAAGAAGTTGAAACGCCCAGGCATCTCGTTAGGGATCGCCACCTGGAAAGTTGTCAGGTTAACCTGTTCCGCCTTCTGAACGGGGTTCAGACAACAATAGCTCCCAGACTCTCTCCCACTCTTTGGAGAGTAGACACCAACACGCATACCATATATTAGGACGCGTTGCTTAACAATACGTCCATGTCCATTTCCAGTTATCTAGACATTGTCCTCGTACTGGTAGATGCAAAATCTAGGAGTAACACAGGTGCATCGCAAGTCGGCCTCGCGTACAGTGAAGTCAACTGGGAGGTCTGAAAATTCCTCCCTCAGTATTGGCAAACTTGATATTTGCTTGTTAAAATTCAAGGAGCGTTCTTCAACGTCAAAGCGAGGAGACAGAGACGCAAGGTTGGAAGACCGCTGAATAGCGTGACCGATCAGGAATCTTTGTTTACTTTCCAAAACTGTCCAGTGACATTACCGACCCTTTTCAAAACGGTCAGACTTATCGCGATGTCAACAGGAATAACCTACACTCGCACAACAAAGCATCCCCATCACTGGCGGAGCTCCTCCCACCTGTCACCACTGTAGCAAAGTATTCCACCCCAGGTGCACCCTAATCGGACAATTTTGAGCCCACCTTGATTGAGACGTCGCCAGGACACGCCGACACGACAAGAACGACAATGTTTGCCGTGTGCCCCACATCACGGAGGACGCTGAGACGGTAGCTTGCGCGTTGCAGTAGACTTGCGCCACATCTACAACACACACTCCCCTGCCTCACCCACCTGAACTCCGTGACAGGGCAGAGTAAAGAAGACGGGGGGGGGGGCAAAATCAGACCCAGTGACTGACAAAGCTAAACACCCTGTCCACATGTGCCAGGCACGATAGACTACATTTTTGCCAAAATCAGAATACAATGTGACGATTATACGTAGCTTTTGATAAATTCTCCTCCGGTAAGTACAATTATATGGGAACGGGGTAGAAGTGAAAATATGTCAGTGATAAGAGAAATCGATTAAGGTTCGCCTCAAAACGCAGGCGGTGTGTTGAAATGTGGGCGAGGGATTTGGGGGGGGGGGGGAGGTGTAATAGCAGTCACTGTCAAGGGCGGGATGAGAGCGGATGGGCGCGGAGAGTTGCAGCGTTAGTCGACCTTCGACCACTGTAGGCGCGGTGTCTCACAAGGTGGTACTTCTGTGCGCACAAAATTGGCTTTCGCAACCTGATGGCGGCCGCCACTGCAGTTGCTAACAGTTGCCAGCCCAGTAGCTTAGGATAGCTTGATGGGGCCTTATAAATCACACGAAAAGCTTCGTTGGGGTCCACACGGTGTCCGGAATCGACAACATGCGCGAGAATGGCGCTGCTGATACTCCTAGTTTAGCTTTTCCCAGCCATGCTGGGAGGTGTTCTTGCATTCTCTTGAATGGGCGCCGACTCTTACGACCAATATAACCTGCTATGTAGGAGCAAGTGAAGGAATAGATGCAAATTGAAGTGGTCTGGGGTTGCAACTTATCCTTACCTTCTCTGCATAAAATATGGTTAGTAGAGAATGATATTTGAGCCCTTTCTGCTGGGAAGTTTCACAAGACAGCTTGAAGAAGGCGCCTCCTTAGGAGTTTACTCGCAGCGTCCTCGTGAGGAGGGACTTTGAGGAACAAAGTTTTCTTTTCGGCAGCCGGTGTGGCGGGTTTTACCGGTCGTTCGGCAATGTTCTTTGCAATAAACCTGTCAGGATACCCGTTGTAACGAAACAAGTCCTGGACTTCTCTAAGCTCATCCTCGATGCTATCTGTTGACCCAATTTCTCTATCTCTTTTTGCCAAACAGCGAGCTTGGTTTCGTTTTTATTAGAGGGGTACGAAACTGACGAAGTTCGTGTATTGTCCACACCAGGTTTTCTTCCGATAGACGCTTCTTCAGACACTTCTATCAGATCTCCTGCCTAGAAGAACATCTAAGAAAGGAAGGCCGTTTCGATCTCCGACGTGAATTTGATCTACCGACTTGTCTGATCTACAGCATCTAAGAGAGTAGCTACGTCGGTTTCTGCGGTGGTATTTGCGAAGATATCATCAGCATAGCGACCATAATGTTTAAGCTTATCAAACTGATCGCATAGTTGGAACCTCTCCAATTTTCCCATGAAGATATCGCCTTGGAGATGCGAATTTGTTGAAAGCTACGTATGCTCTCCACCTCGTCTTCTGATTACTGCTACGGCAATTTTGCCAAACTGTCATAGGGGCTGCTCGGATCCCATCTGATTGGGAGTGCCATTGAAGCTACATTAAAAAAGAGCCATTACAGCCTGAGTCTTTATCCTGAGAGGACCGAGTTATCCCGTCAATTTTCAACCTCCGGAACTACAACTTCTAACGCGTCGTGATAAATTGCATCAGACCGGCAATAGTAAGGAATATGTGCTGGTTGCCATAGGGACGCAGCCCCAAGAGTCGGCCTCGCTCTCTGTTTCCCCTCTTAGGCCTCAGTCCACAATCCAAGCCACTTATTCATCCGATGCGGGAGCTGGGCGCAGGTGGATGGCGCGAAGTGAGCCCGTACCTAGGCGTGCCATCACATCCGTAGGTGTGACAGCTTCATGGGTGGGCAGCCCAAATAGCGCGTGTCGTACCCTTGTCTTGTCGCCGCCGTGTTGTTCCAGCAAGATTCCCTCGTTGCCTGTTGTGTGAACAGCAGTAAGCAGGCGTCAACAACCCAACCAGGATGCTACTGTAGTGACATTTAAGTCAGTTTTGTTTTAATCAGTTATACTACGTTTGTTAAATAACTTGACACTACTTTGAATAAGACAAAAAAACTAGCACGTGCATTTTCCCTTCTAAGGACCTTGTTTCTGTTTACTAGTGTGTAGCCGTTGGGATACTTCTATCTTCGTATCCCGGATAGCCTACCGACTGTGTCCAACGAATGGGTTTATCACTTACACTACCTTGCCTCCACCGTAACCGCGCATTCACTCACGTAGCGGCCTCTCTGGTTGTATCGCAGTACTGCCGGAAAACAAATGCTAGGTCTCCCTATCCGTACCCCTCAAAGTCTCCATCTCTGCCAATACTACACTAGCATATTCAGCCTCCCCCGCAGATCCCCCGATAGTATGTGCATACATGAAAATATTCGTTAAACCGATCCCATCATTGACACATCTACTGCTAGCTAACTCATTGCTCATTAGAAAGGCCATGGATTTTGTCAGCGTCGGCAGTAACAGACAAATGTCAGTTTCGTGGGCGTTTGAGTGTGGGGGACATTAAATGGGCCAAATATCATGTTAACCACTGAGCTCGCTCTCGCTTATGTAGGATAGGAGTACGGCCCTGAAGAGTGCCTCGTGTTTGCCTTGAGAACAGAACGTGTATGGCCCGCGTAGATACGTCTTCAGCCTCGTCATTCATTAACGCCACACTGGATTCCAACAGTCCTGACTAGGTCTTGCCATAGAATCATTGCGAGTATTAAACCCAGCAGAGGTCTGCTGCACTGTGAACAAATTTTCTACTTTATCCTCATAGACAATGGCAATATTTGAAGAAGAAGAAGAATCGAGCACCGGAACAATTCGTTTATTATCCTGAGCTTTCAGACTCGTACAGGAGTCCATCGTCAGAGGTAGTGGCAGAAACAGGACAAGCGGCAGTTATAAGGCACGTAGACCCAATCATCGACCGACGTCGCACGACTGGAGGTGACTACGAAGGGCTCTGTACGCCGGCGCCAGATCGATAAATCGATTGACCGAGTTCTCATCCGAGGCCCAGGCTTCAATCAATTCTCGGCCTGTTTTGTTTCCGGCGTGGGCGACTATTTTGGTGGCAGCGAAGTCAAACTCGTGACCCATTTCGTAGGTGTGGGCGGCCACTTGTGACAATGCGTCGCCTCGCCGCACAGCCAGCTTATGTTCATGTATGCGCGATCCGAGCATGCGTCCAGTCTGTCCTGTGTAATTACAAGGACAATTTTGACACGGAATGCGATACACTACTCCAGATTGCTCTTCAGGTTTTAAACGGTCTTTGATCTTCATGACCCTGTTGCGCATGGTGGCTTTGGGGCGGTGTGCGATTCCAACCCCTAGCTCCGCAGCAATGCGCTCGGTCGCTTCTGAAACACCCTTGATGTATGGCAGAGCATGTCATATCGTCGGTGGCGTTGATGTTTGAGTTCTCTGGTGGCGACCGCGTAGGCAGCGACTTATGAATGCCCTCGGATAGCCATTTTGCACAAACTGGTCGCGGAGATAACGGGCCTCACGCGCTCTGTCTTCCAGGTTGCTGCAATGAGTTTGGATCCGTTTGAAGAGCGTCTTCACACAGCTTCGTTTGTGAGCCACCGGATGGTTGCTGTGAAAACTGAGCAGCTGTGTGGTGTTCGTTGCCTTCCTATAAACCGTCGTTTCAAGTTCACCGTTAAGGTTTCGTTTGACGAGCACATCCAGGAAGGGCAACTGCTGCTCTTGTTCTTCTTCTCTCGTGAATTTTATATCCGAGAAGACTGCGTTGAGCAGGCTGTGAAAATGTTGCAGCATGTCCTTCTTTACGATGACGAACGTGTCGTCAACGTAACGTCGCCAAAACACCGGTTCATGTTGGAGGAAGGCAATCTTTTCCAACTCCTGTAGGACCAGTTCTGCCACCAAACCGGAGACCGGTGAGCCCATAGGGGTTCCCTTAATTTGTTCGTAGGTCTCTCCCGCAAAAGTGAAGAAAGTTTGTTGGCAGAATTCAAACAGCCTCATGAGGTGTTCAATTTTGAGGGCATTCTGAGTCTCATCGTACGCCTCTTCAAGTCTCTTGCGCAAGACTTCGCGGGCCACGTTTGGTGGGATAGATGTGAACAGCGACGTCACATCGAAGGAGACCATTATTTCGTCCGATTGAATTCTCCGACCTTGGAGGTCTATGAGGAATTGAGAGGCTGATCGAACTGAGTTAGTCGAATTGCCTTGGAGGAACTTCAGTTTTGAGTACATCCACTTTGCCAAGTTGTAGGTGGGGCTGCCTTTGAGGGCAACGATTGGCCGAAGTGGGACATTTGCTTTATGGATTTTTGGCAGACCATAGAATCGGGCTAGAGCGGTGTCAGTTGCCCTCATTTGATGCCATTCATTCTCCGTGATCACATTTTTATGTCGGTATTCTCTAAGCAGTTTACTCAGCCGATCTGCCACTGCTTTGGCTTGTGACTTCTGTGCTGGTCTGTAGAATTCTCTGTCATCAAGAAGGGCTTTAGCTTTTTCATTATAGTCTTCTCTATTCATCACGACGGTTGATCGTCCCTTGTCAGCAGGTAGAATGATAATGCTGTCGTCCCTCCTCAGTTCTCTCATAGCCTTTGACTCACTCTGTGAAATACATTTGGTTGGTCTGTGTGTCATCAGCAAAGAGGTAACACGCTGTCGGACGGAGTGTTTCATGTCGTCGGATGTTTCACTTCTCACAAGCATGGCTTCCAGGGCTGCAATGAAGTCGACAGGATCGGCATCTGCAGTGTTGAAACACGTTTCATGCTGCAACACTCGTAGTTGCTGCTCTGTTAGCTGCTTAGACGAGAGGTTGTGGACCAAGTTTGAGCTTTCTGTGCCTGGTGGTTTTAGCTTAGTCAGTTTCCGTTCCAAAACTTCTCTCTTCTTGGCTTGCCTGTGGTGTGCCAGAGCAGAGATCGTCTTCCCAAGAGTCGTCGCTCCCGACTGACAAACCGTGAAAACGAATCGCGTTACTTCTTCCTCCCACCCCTCCTTCAAAAGCAAGGGAAATTCCTATTGACCCAACTGTGAAAAACTCGGCGCCTCGGTGCGATTCGAACCCACGCAGTAAGGGGAAGGCTTTAGTACAGCCAACGCTCTAACCACTTGAGCTACGAGGCCCCGCCGGATGACGCGAGTTTAATCACATTTGGGTCAAGTTACCCGTCCAACGAAAATTGCCTGGACATACCGAGACCCAGTTCAGCAAAGTGGACATCTCGCAAAGTAAATCATGAGAAGGCATCGTCATATATTTTACGAGACGACCAAAAGTAGAATAAGACTACCGACAGAGACAAGGGAGACTAGAATGACCATTTCTGCCTCATTAGCCGTCGTCAGCCTGCACAAGATCTAGACTACCTTAATCGTCAGGGTGGGAATTCTAGATTCTTTTCTGTAGCACCGTGTTTCGTATTTTCAGTCGACTGAAGCGCGCACGAGGACCACGTGTGTCAAAACAGCAGTGTTTTCTTGATAAGGGTGGTTACCTCCCAACACCTCTTCTGACAGGTAAGTTTTCGGTTTTAGGATTTTGTTACAGTCAATACTCCATAAAAATAAAAAGGACTATTTGCGTTGAAACAGTCTGCGATCAATGCTAAAGCAAGAAATGAGGCCGAGCACCGGAACTGCTCGAAAATTCGTCCGAATTATCTGCCTCGTACAAAACTAGTCCAGGGTCAACAAAGTACGGACAGCGGTCTATGCGAGTCCAACAGTTCAAACACATAAAACAACAGCTCCAGCACTCTCACGCAGCCCTTCTTAATAACTCTTGTGAGCGTATTAGACTAGAATTATCATCTCTTTTTGAAATTCTGCATGATTTTTATCCGGCTTATAAGAAAAAAGGCGTCTATATGGTGACCTAATCCATTTTGCTCCTTAAATCCACTTAAACACTCTGGCCATTTAAACTATGAAACACTTTGAGAATACGGCACGTGACCTTGGGTGTACAGAACTAGTACCATTGACCTCGGACAGTGATCTCATAGGAAACGGTCTTTTGACTGAGGAGATAGCCAGAAGATGCCAGTTTCAGTTTTGTTTCCGAGTTCGGAACCAAATTCTTGACAGACGGCCAGGTTGAGGAAATCAGCCAAAAATTCAGAGAGTGCCGAAGACGGTGTCGTGCTACCTTCTGCGAGGGCTGCTGATTGAAGCACCACGGTAGGATGGAAAGAGTATGCGTCCGCAATCGTTCTCATCCGACATGAATGAAATGCGTAGCTCGGGTGTAAAGCTTTCGCTCAATGTTCAACGGGCAACTAAATCGCCCTTGAAACCTTGCGTTTGCCCAAATCTGGGGACGATGTATGACCGGCTGATGACGATCGGTAAGGCGAAAAGGGGTACTGAAATCTGTTCATTTATGCTTGCATTTCTTCTACCCACGTGATCAGTAGACGTAACAAGTCTCACCATTACTGTTTATGGGGGCTCCATTCGGCTTGTAGAGCTTGCATGAATGCCCTCGGAGTATCTATGTGCCGTTCCCTTGGGCACGGAGTTTGGAGTTCAAATCGTTCTGTTTGTTGACTCTCCTCCATATCCCAATGGGATTCTCGCATTATAAACTCTGTTGGGAGGAAGGAACGATTGAAATTCGGCTCAGGTTCCGTTGCTCGTTAGTAGCAAACTGAGCGAACTATCAATTCTGAACTACACGATTTTTCAAAAACCTCAATATTACGGACAACTCACAGAAGCCCCGCTTGTGAGCAATCTCGCAGATTCAGTCGGATGGATGTTATTTGTAGATTGCGAATGTTGTATGCGCAAAAATCAAGAAAGCACCCGGGTGGCAATCTGATTTACTGTTGCGCTGAGTTTAAATTCCATCATCTGCTGCACAGTCAACCCAGTGAATGCTCTCATCTTCTGCAATCGTACGATGAAGTTGATAAAATGCTGGACGATCTCGCAGGAATGCAGTCTGTAGTGCGTTTAATTTGAGATTCCGTTAATCAATATGTGCACTAATTCGGACCAAGTCGTCTTTTTCGTCGTCAGGCTTTAGCAAGCAGTAGGCAGCTGTTTGCAACGTTCTCAGATAAGTCGTTTGCGTAAGTGAGAAACAGAATAAACCGCCTGGTGCAGAACCGCCTTCAGATAGTAATTCAGTCTACACAGCCTTAAAAAGTGCATTCTCGAAGCCGAATGTGATAGAAACTTCAAGATCGCAATAGTTTACTTTTTTGGCTAGACAGCATCGATTGCACCCAGTTCGGACCCTACTTAGTTGAGTCTTCGTCTTGAATCATTTATACTTTGGAACCATGTGAAACTGTGAGCAACAGAGATTTTCGCAGCAAATTCCGAGAGGCCTGTGTGGCGACAGTTTATCCGCTTCATCCTGTCTCTTCCTCCGTTAAAACGGGCACAATACCGATCGTCTTTCAACCAGCAGAGACAATCTCATTTCCCTCTTTGTGTGATAAGGTCCTCACTAGGCCAGCTGGTAGACTAGTGGTATAAGGGGCATCAAGTCCAGGGAAGCAGTCCAGTGTTGTGCTGCTCAATTATCGCACCAACGCGTTTTCTTAGAGGGGGAGGAAGATACAACACTACAAAGGCTACGGAAGAACAAAACTCCGTTTCAGATCGATGGAGTTGGTTACTGATTGGTCATCACAGGGGAGATGACAGTTGAGTTGCTTATACGGCCCTCCGACGTTAGCCGAATTGCCTGTGGAGCCACTCGATACGGAAGACTTTGCAGTGGCATATACGCCTGCAGTTTTTTTTAATGACTGTCACAACTACCACCTAATGTTTTTTGCGATAATCTGTGGCCGATCTTGTAGATATTTTAGAGATGTGCCGAAAGGAATCATCATTGTCAAGACTAGATCCGGCTGTCTGGGGTGACAAATACAGGTTTTGTGGAACGGTCACTCTTTGCAGCAGCTCTCAGAATATGAAGACTGTTTTTACTGCCTTTCCAAATTGGGACTTAAATTATAACCATTTGCTGTTGTTGTAACGAGGACCGATTTCTGTTTCAAGAATCTGATTTGCCCTAACTTGAAGATACTAAGGCGTTTTGGTTGTTGATGAGAAGTAAGTACTCGGCCTTGAGCTGACGAGACCGTCTTCTCCGTAGGCACCACCAGTTTCAGCACCTCGACTCGAGTTACTGTCATAAACAAAATAAGGAATCCTGAACTGACTAGGATGCTGCCTGGCTGCTCGGAGGCGACCTTCGGAATAGCAAGTCACCAAGTGAGTACGGACATGATCACAGATGCACCACCACAGAAACCAACGTAGCTGAATTTTCAAGTGCTGCAAATCAGGCACATCCATCAATCAGGTTCACGTTGGAGATAGAAACGGCTGATTCGCTCCTTTTCTTAGATGGCCTTCTAAACAGAAGACCGGACGGTAGCGTCAGAAAAAGCGTCTCTCTGATATTGCCGAACGATCGGTAAAACCCACTCCACTGACTGCCGAAAAGAACTGTTTCCTTAAGTCCTTTTTCAAGGAGACGATGCGAGGGGACTCCAAAGAAGACACCTTGGTCAAGCTTCCTCGCGAACCTTCCTAGCAGCAAGGATTTTTATTTCAATCTCTAACAACCCTATTTCTACGCAGAGAAGGAAAGAATAAGCTACCAACTCAGACCACATAAATGTGCATCTACTCCTTCACTTGTTCCTGTGGAGCAGGTTATCTTGGCCCCAGCAGTCAGCACCTATTCAAAAGAATGTGCGAATACCGGGATGGCTGGGAAAAGGTGAAATTAGGAGCATAAACAGCGCCGTTCTCGCAGGTGTTGATTCCAGACATCGTTTAGACCACAGCAAAATTTTTCGTTTGATTCATGAGGTCCCATCGAGCTGCCCTAAGCTACAAGGCCAGCGTCTACTAGTGACAACAGAAACGTGAGCTATCAGGTCATGAATGCCGGTCTTGTGCTCGCAGAAGAACCTCGCTCATGGCCCACGCTTACGGTGGTCAAAGCTCGACTAACTGAATGCAACCCTCCGCACCCTTCCACTTTCACCCCCTGGCACTAACGCTTATTACCCTCCACCCCATATTCCCACGCCCTTCCTGTGTTTTAGGACGAACTTTAATCGATTTCTCTAATCACTGACATAGTTTACTTGGCCCCGTTCCCACATAAACGTACTGGCCACAACCCGCCTGTTCTAAAACGAACTTTAATCGATTTCTCTAACTACTGACATGTTTCACTTGACCTGGCTACCATACAAAGGTCGCCAACTCGTCTTATGAAAAGTGAGGAACCCTGAGCTTACTAGAATACTGTCTGCCTTCAAGGGGGATAACCTTCAGAATACCAGGTAAGCAGTTGAGCACGGTCATGGCGGATGCACGTATTAAATAAAAACGGTTGGTCCTCGTCACCGAACCACTGTCACATCCAAAACCAAGCTTAAAACGTGTAATAAGGTAGTTGACTAGTGTTGCCTAGCCTAGTCTGGCTATTCTAGTCACAGGCGACAGCCAGCAGATCACGATCAGGTAGTTTGCCAACCACTTCCTGCAGCCGAAAGTCAGAGGTATTTTCATTGCGTTGGTCGCCAGCTGGTTTTGTGGGGTAGACA